ATATCTACTACTTAACTTTTGTGTTGTTTTTTTCTTTCTACGTCTAACTATTTGTATTTGTATTATCTATTGTCTTAATTATTACTTGTATACATACAGATGGTCCAGCTGTTGTGCGCGTCAACATTTTCGTAAGAAGTATTTCAAAAATCGATGATGTTACCATGGTAAGTGCGCGTTGGATAATGTATCGCATCTGAAACAGACAAAACCCGTTATTTAGGATATAAAACTAAATAGAATAGCTGATTTGAGTGTGGGCTTCCACTTCCTACTTATTCTAACTTACAACTTGTCGCTCTTTTAAATGCATATATACCTTAACAAGAGACCCAGACCAAGTCCCCCTTAAAAAAAGCGATTTACTTTAAGAAAATAATATATGTATATACACACAAGATACATTATCTCTTATCTCTTGTTGCATCTATGGTAAATCTAAAAGGCTTTTTAAGGTCCCCGATTTCCTTTTTGCCACCCAATTCAAAAATACTAAAGAAAACAAGCAACAACTATTTTCACTCTAGACGTTCAAATCAGCAAAAGGAAGTCCTTATAAGTAGTAGGAAACAATTTTGGAAACTTTTGATTTTTTTCCAATTTTCCTCAAAGCAATTAAATTGTAAATAGTAATATTTTATTACAATTTCCTTAAATTATTGTTACGTATGAAGTATTGATTAATAATAATAATAATAATAATAATAGCAATAACAAATCGACAAACTGTAAATTAAAAAAAAGGAACAAAAATATATAATATTTCATCTGTGAATGCGCAGTGATCGATCATTTTATTTAATACTTTCAAACTTCTTTGAGTTTATTTTTAAAATTTTATTCGATTTTCCAACTTAAATATTCGTAAATAAGAACGAACGAAAACTACATATATATTTGTCTCTCTCTCTCTTTTTAATATATACTTACATTATATATCTTTCTGTCTATTATTTTATAATAAATATCGTTCATATAATATAATAAATACAATAAATATTTATATTCAAATATTATATTTATTACAACAAACAAATAATAAATTTAAAACAATTCAAATTTATATGTGAGAACTGAAATTTATTTGAACTTAACTTTAATAATTTAGCAATTATTTTATTTACAAAAAACATAATATTTAAATAATTCTTAAAATCTATAGTCTTAATTATTTTACCAACATGAGGGAAAAAACAGTTTTTAACTTACACTGAAAAAACATACGAAAGAAAATATCAATTATTTTTAGTCGAAAATTAATGTTCGTATATTGAATACAGAATCCGTTTGTGATTTAATATACGATTTTCTATTCGCATAACGATTATTTGTTATTTACTTAATACATTCTAAATATATTGATGTGGTTTACACCTTTATTTTTTTTTAATTTTCTATAATGTTAAATAATATAATAAAAATTATACAATAATTTTAGTTTTCAGTTGTTTTCTTTTTTTCTGTTTTTAGTTTAGTTTTTAGTAATTCTAAATTATAAAGAAATATGTGGATTGATAAGGGTTTCCAATAGGATTGGGTCGAACAGATCAACCATTAATACTGAATCTCTAGAGCAAGATTTATGACTGATAAAATATTACGTAAGTGTGGGAATTCACACACTTTAGAAAAAAAATTCGTAATATTTGTGAAAATTTCATACATAATACGAAATATTATTTATCCCTTTTCCTTTTTATAATTTTACGAAAGCACGAAAAGCTTTTGTAAACTTTGTTTCTTATGATTTCATATATATTACGAAACAATTTCATGGTAAGAAACAACGAAGTATTTCGTACAATGTACGACATTTTTTGTATATATTAGGCAAGGATTATTTTCAGTGCACGAAAGTATATCAAGCTTTGCTGACATGAATTAGTTGCCAAAATCATTTGGTTTTATCTTACTTTGGGATTCTGCTAGCAATATATCGAAATATTGGTCGTAGGGCCACAAAAATATACATATATTCTGGATAATAAAAAAATATTATAATTAAATCAACCTATATTTGTAAATATCTGAAAGATGTATGTATATTCGGAGCGCACAATAGGCCCGACAGTGGCCTAGGTGTATTTCTTTGGATTTGATGTACTATACATCCTCCTATAAACATAACCTAACTATGTAAATATATTCGGAAAAACATTTAGAATCAAATTATTATTTGGTTCAAAACTTTTATTGTTTTCCAATAATATTTAAAACTCTTAAGTTTAATTAAAGACGTGCGAATATATCTATAGTTTGCAACCGAACGAATTAAATTATAATTTGGTTCAAAACTTTTATTATTTTCTAATAATATGTAAAACCCTTAACTTTAATTAAAGTCGTACAAATATATCCATAACTTGCAACCGATCCCTTAAAGTCAGGCTATCACTGAAATATATTCGTATCTATAAGATAAAGTCATTAAAACTCACGGATTTTGTTAATGTTCGAAGCTACGATCGCTACATATTTCTTTTCGATTTCAACACCTGGCCCACTCTTATTAGAAAGTTTTTAATTAAGAAACAAATTATTGATCTTACAAAGAATGCTATTGAATATGACAGTAATTTTAAGAAAATTTTATTTTTATGGGGTTTCCTCTTAGAAAATAATTTTAGAGTCATAATTGACATATTTTGTATATAATAATCTTAAGAAGAACGATTCTCAGTTCGTCTTTCAGGACCTTCTTCATAAATTGATTAAAATCTAATATTAAATATCAATAAGATCTGTATTGTAATACAACATCGAACTTCGATCATCGCTCTTTATTGGATCCTATCCCCCATATCTAAGCAATATGGCAACCTTCAAAATAATGCTAAAGCACTGGAGAACTGCAAAGAAGAAGAGCTTTTTTCCTCGCTCTTATGTTAATAACAAGATCAGTAAAAATTTTAACAAGATCATAAGATTTAAAATTACTTTATTTTGACAGCTGTCAGTGGTCACAACTTTATTAAAGAATTAAGTCCCCGTTTTCGAGATATTGCGTCCTAAAAGTTAGAATTTAAGTCTAAAATCTTCTGAAAGCACAAAGTCTGCCGACTTTCAAATAAAGGTTAAACCTTTGTTATATCTTCTTTCTTCTTCAAGATTTCAGAGTTTCGAATTTTTTCAAATTTTTGTTTTTGTTGGCCTGTGCTATATATAGCAAAAACTCGGTAATAGGTTGTACTTCCATAACCACTTACTTTTCAATGACTACTACTTATCGCATTACTTAGAAGTAGTCTAGTAATGACTTTCTTATAAAATAAAATTTGTATGTGAAAACCATTATTTGACGCGCAATAAAAGTGCTAAGCAGTGGTGCAGTGAGTAGAACAGTTGACTAACAAACCGAAATCCCTGGTTCGTATTCTAGCTGGCTCTTTTTATTATTAAAAAATAACACAACCTACTAAACAACTTCTTTGTAAGAAAAATTGCAAGTACTTCTTTAACTCCCTATTTGTAAGCGAGCGTGGAAGTACTTGCCTCCAATGACATCACCGTGTTAAAATAATGACTTAAAATGCTAATGAAGATGTAGTGAAAAGAGGTTTTATTAGCTTTTTAACTCATTACTTTTCAATGCAAGTTTTTCCCGGGTTGGTAGTCCTACTACTCTAACTGTCATATTCCACATTCTTTGGAAACAAATATTATGAATTTTGAGTTTTATTTAGTTTTGAATTAATTTTAAATAAATTAACAAATGGAAACTTATTGGTAAATTTAGATTATTATTGGCAGTATTATATTATAATTTCAAAATTGGATATTTGTTATAATTCTAATTATTATTATTTTTGAATTGAAACGAGAATGTACCTGTAATATATAATTTATTTCTTCTTTATATATTTTTTTTAATAATTTAAAATGTCGTTTGGATCTCTATTCTTCTCTTCTACTCTCATTCTAAACTCTTAACTCTCAGTCTTTTAAATAAATCTGTGTTAATATGTCTAAATAATTAAATAAATTAAATTATTTTTATCTTTAACAAAAAAAAAAACAAACTTAATTATTATAAAAACAAAATATTTATATAAATATCAAAAAAATTAGAGTATGCAAATACATAATGTTATCAAAAAGAATCAACTGTGATTTGATGTTAAACATAATAATAATACATATTTTATTTCAAATTATATTTATTCAAATAATTTATTATTTTATACTTTTCAAATTAATTTATTATAAATTAACAATTAAAATGAAATCAAAAACTAAATAAAATTAATGTGCTTTAGACGTAATTTTAGTTACAAAAATAATTATTAACCAAATTAATCTTCTATTTCTTTTTATTTGTTTATCAATTAGTTTTTCTCTTTTATATGATTTAGAAGTTTTATACAGAAATTCTTAAATTATCCCTATAAAAACAGAACAACGTTTAAAATTCAATTAAAAAAAAATATATTGAAAATGTGTGGCATGCATTTTTCAATTTAATAAAACCAATTTAAAAACAAATGATTAATTTTTAATTATAGTTTCTTGAAAATTATGTTAAAATTTTATTTATTTATTTTTAATTTAATGAGATCCATACAGACATTTTTTTCTACATAAAATTAATTTCCGTTTCCCTTTTAAGTTGATCTTTTTTTATGGTTTCAACTTCCATTACGTTCATATGTCATCACAAAATCCTTTAATTCGTTATAATATGGACCTAGACATTTTATAGAAATTTAATATTTAAAATATATTTAAGTCTTAACAAAACACCTTTAGTTATAAGTAAGTATTTTTAATTATAAGAATATTAGGTTTTTAAACTTTAAATATAATTTTTTCTTAATTTTAAATTAAACAAAAACTTATTTATTTATTAAATAATTATTTTATTAACAAAAACTAATATTGTAATTCTTCTCTAAAATCGAATATGTTACTTGGAATGGATCTTTAACACAGTTTCTCTACTAAATTATTAACAATATTGTATAAAAACAAAATTTTATTTCTAAATCCCCCGATTTTTATAGAAAATTTACCCACGTATGTCTATGTCAACATGTTCCTACGGTCTATTTCAAAAATCGACGATTACAAAATGGTGAGTGAGTTTCGCAAACTTAACAAAAACTCTTTTTTCGTACATAATAAACTATTAACCGGTAAACTAACTGAAAAAACAACTTTTTAAAAAGGCGTTCACTGCGTTTCAAAAATCCAAAGCTTTTTTTCGCATTCCGTGAAACTCTGCCTGTATCACAAAATACAATCCAGCTTTTTTTAACAAAACAAATGTTTTTTTTTATAAAATTCATGTATAATTTACTAACAAATTTAACAAAACGTTGCGACTTCTGAAAAAAAGAGTCTATTTCAGAAAAAAAAGCAAACCAACGAAATGTCACTTTACTAAAACATAATGTCAAAATCAGTGTAAATTACGCTAAAGCGTGCTTTTATTCTTTCTTTTCTATTAACTTTTATTGTTTAAAGTGTAAATTTATATTGGAACTAATGGTAATCATGGTGAGTGTACTAAGTCCATCGATACGTAATTATGGTAAAGTAAAAATAGATTTATTTGGTTCAATCCAGCTGTAATAAAATACGATGCTTATGTCATTAACTGTGATTACTATAAATATTGCCCTGCATCGTATAATAGTAGCACTTATCTAGTGGAAAGCGGTAAAGCTAAAACATATTAGTTAGGCCTTTTTATAAAAGATATAAAGATAGGTTAACTCCCCAGACAAGTCTGAAGACAATTATACTGAAGACAATTATACAGCGGGCAGATTATTTATTATATAAAAAACATTTAAAAGAATCTTTCGAAAGAGATCGGTTGACGGATTTTTTTAATCTAAGCTAACGGGCTCGGGAATTTTTTTCAATTCGATTGGTCTACAGATTGTCCAATGCTGAAATTTACGAAATCGACATAGCCGCTTGGTTAGTTAATCTGAACCTACGAGGACCATTTGCCAGCAATAAAGACTTACAACTCCAACTCAATAAAGACGAAATGCCTCGAAATTGTCACAAACAGACGGAACTTTGTATAGTAATGATGGGTTCTTGGGTATGTTATTGGAAATTGTATCGAAAATTGCGTCTTTGATCGACTATTTGAATAAAGAACTTAACACAGGTAGACTACTGATGCAGAATATGAAAAATCTTTTGGTTCAACCTTGAAATTCTTCACACTTGGAATGGAAATTCGTCAAGACATCTTTTAGTTACTTTATAATAGGCTGACTCATTATCTAGATTCTGTTGAAATTGTTCTCTAGGGAACCACAATGTTTACACGATCTCTCAAATTAGAAATCACAACAGTATATATATATAATAGACTTAAGTAAGTTAGTTAGAAAAGAGGATGTATCCGAAAAAATACACGTAGGCTTCCATCGAGCTTGTTGGGAATCGAACCCACGACCTGCGTTCTGACAGACTAGACTACTCACAAACCTGATGAATTATAGCCTTAAGTTATAAAAGCGTTATAGTCACCCTTTTTATACAATACACCACTTTAGTGGGGAGCGTATATTGGGTTTGTACTAATGTTTGTAACGCACAATTATACCAATCGGCTTAGAATCATTTCCTGAGTCGATTTAGCTATGCCCGTCCATGTAAACCTTGTAGTCAAACTACAGGTCGCATTTTTGAATATAATTCTATGAAATTTTGCACATAATCTTCTATTGTACTAGAGACGAATCCTGTTGAAAATCGGTAATATCGGTCCAATATTTGACCTTGCCCCCATACAACTGAACCCTCCGAATACGACTTTAAAGTTCATAATTATGTTCAATATACCCTCTTGACAAAAAGCTGCTAAACAAAGTTTTCTATACTAGCCTTCATGACCCTGATGAATTTTTTGATGATAGGGCCTTATTTGACCCTAGCCCCTATACAAAGCCCCCTTCGAAATATGGCTTAAATGTACACAATTCTATTCAACAAAAAATGGCTAAAGTATATCTGCGACATGGTACAATTCAACTTAAATGCTTTATTATGAACACTAAATCACATTTTATTTTTATAACCGGTGTAGGGTATTATATGGTCGGCTTCGACTGACTATAACTTCTTACTTGTTATAAATTAGTTACGACGTCTGAAAATCCTATATATTGACTTCAAAATAATGGTTTAAACATTGTTATATCATATATGTATATTTACATATACATACATATATAACGTCAGACATCTATAAATTTACTAAAAATGTATTTTTGCGATGGGAAAAGTCTAAGGTCAGATTCAGATTCAACGCAAATACTCACCTCTTGATGATGCAAGACTATTCCAGCAGTTCGGCCGGACAATCGCGAAATACCTATTTAACCTACCAGGTTGCCCCTAGCCAACGACTACCCGGATGGCATGTGCTTGTCCTACGAGGAAGTCAATCGTCACGCCTTAGATAACGTAGAGGCAGTCAGAAAGCTAGTCCAAAGAAGTTGATGAGTGGCAATGAATATTTGGCTTAAGTTTGATTTGTAAGTGCCCACTTTATACATTACTTGGGAACTGTAAAGAGTCTTCACTTTTGAAACAGTGAAGAAGTAGTTATCTAAACTCCTTTGGACAATTTTTGCTAGGACAAGTTACACTAATTTGAAAAAATCCTGTATGACCAAAATGTCCCCCTCTAATTCCGGCAGTTCTTGATCGATAGAGCTAAAACTGTGTGTCTGGCATACTATCAAATAGTACTAACCTTGGTGCAAATTTCATCCAAATCGATTTTTTGAGTTAGGCCACTTAACACGAAATTGCCCATTTGTATTTCGGTGGGGACCACCCTAATGTAGATTTGTTTATGTACATAAAAATGTGAAAGAAATCGTGTAGGCGGATTTAAAATGCAAAATTATATTAGTCAAGGTCTCGGACATTGAAATTTTAAACAGTGACAAGCACATACTTATATGACAATACATACAGCAGTTTGACAGATATTTATTGTTTTCCAAAATATCTAAACAATTTGTCACCTGGTTGTCAACGAAAATCTTTTAGGCATGATGCTGCTATATATATGATGTAGGGTGAAAAATCTATTTGTCGTCGTTTATATTTTTTCTTTAATCCAACCAAAAATTGTGTTTTTTATGTTTCTCTCTCTCTCTCTGTCTATCTCCTCCTCTATCTGTCGTCTATGTCTGTATCTATATTTCTATAAACGTTTTATTATTAAAAAAAAATAAATAAATATAAATATTGTTAAATTCATTGTGGATTATTTTTAAATATTTATTTAATTTTTTATATATTTATAAATATATATACTTACATATAAACTATAAATATGTTCTTTTATCTAAATAAAATTATTTATAAATATAAATACTTATAAATAAAAACGAAAATATATTATTTATTATAATTAAACATGGAATTGTTCTTATAAAATATGTATGTATGTTTATGTATTTATTAGTATGTATGTGATAATATAATAATACGATGATGATGATGATGAAGAAATTTATATTTGTATAAAAAACAAATTAAACAAAAACTAAATAAATATATGAAATACACAATGATACAACTTAATGCCATAATCGTATTCTTACTAACATACATACAAATTATTTAATGCAAAACTTAATTAACAATCAATTCAATATGTATTTAATAATATATTATTTATTGTAAAATGACAACAACAAAATAATTAACAAAATTTAACCTATAAATATATAGATGTGCGTGTTTAAGTTTGAAATTTATATATAAACGTCTAGTTTTGAACTACTACCACTTTTGAGTTTGTCCAAAATTTTTTTTCTTTTCTCTCTAATAATAATGATGATTCTGAAACAATTTTGAAACTAATTTTAAAAACGCAAACATTATAAAGAAAATAATTAAAAATCAATTGTATTAAAGAACGTCTAAATAAATGTCTATATGGATTAAAATTAAATTATTTTTTTTTATTTATTTTTTTACTATTTATTTCTATTTGTTTTTAATTAATTTAACTGTACAAATTTTTGAAATATTTAGGTTTGTAAATTTTAATAATTGAATTTATTATTTAAAATTTTTTTATTTATTTTACATTTATTTCATTTGGTATTTGTTTCTGTTTACACTATAAAATTGGCAATCTTAGATTTATTTAATTTTCTTTAAATCTTTGTATTTGAAATTAAAATTGAAGTAACAAATGATGGGTGAATAGTTTTAAAATATTAATCTAAGTTATCAATATGTTAAGTTAATATAATACATATTTTAGTATTATGTTAAAGTGGCGCTTAAAAGACCTCCGTAATCAGTCGTTTTGAACCAACTAGTCGATTTTCCTTTTAAAAAATTTACAATACAAATTTACACTTAGGGAAGAAATTTTTTTAAATCAAAAAAAAAACTTAACAACACTTTTTAGGCCTTTAACTTATCCTTGGTCCAAAAAATTATAATTTTTTTTGATCACGTTAGCTTTAAAATGTTTGTCAGATGCCATCTTTTCTAAATCATTAATATTCAACATTTATTTCGGACACAATGGACTCCGAGAAAAAAGTATGTAAAAAATAAATAAAACTTAAAAAAGTCAAAATCCAGTTTCATAAAAATAGCTATGATCAGAAGGTTTATCGTCATACTGTTTCATTAAACAGTGTAAAGAAGACTTGAGCATTAAAAGAAAACCTGAATCGGGAAAGAAAAAAGGTCTAACAGATGTTATTAAGACAAAAGAAGTCGAACACTTCTATAAGAAAAGCAGCTCCTAAAGTTAAATGATCTGATTCGTTTGTGAGCAGAGCCAAAGCTAATGCTGGATTGAAGTCGTATAAAGTTCCAAAGGTTACAGATCAATTCAATAAAGAACTTAAAATAAGACGGGAATAAATTTAGGTAAAATTTTATAAAAGAAATACACTTTATGTATGATGAAACTTATGTACTGTGAGACTTTTCACAGCAACGGAGTCAAGATTTTTATGCTGATGGACTAGGTAATGTTTAAGTATAATACCGAACAAAAAAACAATCAAAATTCCCCGAGATATTTCTTCTGTGGCCAGCCATTTGCAGTTGCGGTAAAAG